AAAAGAACAAATCTGTAAAGGCAAGTTTGAGGAAAAGAGCAAGAAGGCCAAAATGGCTGAAGCACAATGAAAGACAGAGGGAGTGACAAATGTGGGGCTGGAGAGGGAGACTGGGCCTGGACCCCTGGAACCTTGCAGGATATATTAAGTCCTTTGAATTGTGCTCTAAGAGTGAAAAGATGCTATTGGGGGTTTAGAACAAAGCAGAGATAGGATCTAACTTTCAAGAATCTCCACGGGAGTTGTGGGGAGAATCAGGCAAGAAGTAGAAAGAAGAGAGATCAGTTACTAGGCTGTTGCCAGCTCAGGACTATGATGGTGGTGGTGAATCTGCCAGCAAGTGGTCAAGTTGAAGCTGTATTTGATGGCAGAGAGAGAGCAAGGCTGATTCCCACGTCTGTTGCCCAAGCAACTGGAGAGATTATGGCTTGGATTTACAGAGACCAGGAGAATGGGGGAGGGGGATTTGTTTTGCTTTGTTTTTGGTGGGTGACAGGAATCTACAATTCCCTCTTGGAGAGAGCTTTGAGATTCCCATTAGACATCTAAGCGGTGATGTCAAATAGAGAGTTAGATACAAAAGCCTGGAGTTCACAGGTAACACTAGAGAAAAACACCCAATTTTAGGACACACTGCTAAATTAATGTTATTTAAGCCACCAACCAGATGGGATCACTTGTCACTATTGATGAGACAAGGCCAATAAAATAGAAGGAAAACACACAGAATACAAAAACCTGGAAGTCAGGTGAACACAGTATTTACAAACGAGAGAGGAGGGGCAGTGATCAATGCTGCCAAATCTTTGTGAGAGGGCGAATACAATGCAAACTGACCAAAATATTTGGAAATATGAAGTTAACGATTTTAAGAGTTACTAAGACCAGTTTTAGTGGAAAAATTGTGAGAATGTGAGCCAAAAAAAATGGACACTGGCTAAAGGAGGATTATTTCAAACATGGGAGATATTATAGCACATTTGGTGGAAATGGAAAAATTGATGATGTAGAGGAAATGGCATTTGCAAAGGCAAAATTCATGAGTATAAAGAACCCTATGGATTCTCTAACAGTAAGTCTTACTCATATAAATTAATTTCTTCCTTCTTTCCTCTCTCCCTTCCTTCCTTCTGACATTCCTTCTCTTCCTTTCTCCTTTCCTCCTTCCTTCCTTCCTTTCCTCCTTTGTTCCCTACTAGAAAATGCATTCATCAAAATGGATCATGACTTTGCAAGGCATCTGTCAAGTTTCTGTGATGTCCCTCCATGCACAATGGAGAAATGTTGGCTGAAACCACAAGGACAATTAATCAATTACTACTAATTGAATGGCCATGTCCAAACGTACTTATTTAAAAGTGGGTTAACAGATTTTTTGGTTGTTAAAAAACATAACCCAAACACAATGCCCTGACCAGTCCTGTATACTACTTTCATCAGTTATTTCTATGAATATACCGAGGGCACACACAGCACATTTATGAACAACACAAAACTTTGAAAGACAGATTTTAGCTCAATATGAGAAAGACTTTACTGGCATTTAGAATTATCCAGAGATGGATTGGACAGCCTCAGTAATTAATAATTAAGCTAAATATTTATGGGAGTGTGCAAGCACAAATGGGCTATTCACAGACACATGATGGAAGAGTGAAAGCTTAGATTATATCTAGATCAACTCCCATATTGTTTATAATTGAAGAAATATACACCCAGAGACACAGAGGACCTTGCTCAAGGTCAGGCAGCAGAATTCAGCAGCAGCATCAACATTCACAACTCCCATCCCAAGTGGCCCATTAAGAAAGTGGAGGATTGAGACCACAATATTACAGTTACTCACACAACACAACTGTTGAGTTATGCAACTTACTGAGATTTGTCATGTCTTTCAACTTCGTTCCTTTATATAAAAAACATATTGAGCACTTTCAACATAAAAAGTACTGTGAAAGCTTCTTAAGATCAAATATTTAGAATATATTAAAGTGATTCCCTCTTTAATTTCAAAGTTAGAAATTAATTTACAGAGAAAGTACAGTGTTATAACAGTTGCCTCATATCCTTTCTGGAAAGAGGTAAAACAAATAAATTTAGTAAGTGAAACCAGAGATATATACTGCTAGTTTTATTACAAACATACATTTGTTTAATCTCTCATAGGTGAATATTAGCCATTCCCCAAATGCCAATGAGAGGTGAGCCAGCAGAAAAGAATAAAACTCAGTCAAACAAGCATTGAAAGATATTTGTGAAACAAAATTCATATATATTTTTTATGCCAGAATTTTTCCCTGGTACTTATTTTTGAAAATGAGTCCAAAGATTATGAATCTGGTGGACTAGTTTAAGAAATTAAAATAAATTATTCTTTCCTTCTTAATTATCTGAAAGCTGGGCCCAAATCATCCTCATCTAAACTAACTATATTAGTTTAAAAACCAATTCTTTAGAAAGTTAATATGCCACTTAGCTGTCATGAAAAAGCTCTGCAAACTATTTATTTTTTAAGATAAGGACAGAACAAAAACAACCAGATAAATGAACATAAAAAAAATCATACCTATCATCAAAAGTCTGTCTACACCTCTCTATATCTCTCGCTGACACCTTATAGACTATATCACTAACTAATTGAATCAATACAAAGTTAAAGAAACCTTTGGCTCCTGTTCTTTATCCTTCCCAGCTGCTTCAATTATTTTACCAATCTCTGAAGACTTTATTTCTGGCTCATAGTAGATTAACGTCAACAAAGCCATCCCCTTAAAACCAGATTAAGATGATCCTTTCATCTCACAGAGCCTCCAAGTAAACGCAAATAGCTTTGCTTTCAAAGTCATCAACATTTATAACAATAAGAACACAGAAAAAATTTTCTTTACTGTAAAACTTTAAAAACAACTCAAAACTTATTTCTCTTTCTCTAAAAAAAATCCTCTCATACCAGCCAACCCTCCCACCCAGTTGTCCCTAGATTCCACTGCACTCAGTCAATAATAGATATTATCTCAGAATATGAAATGAAAATTGGCAAAATTTGAATTAAAATAATTAAGAAATATAATATTTACTCTACCTACTGACTTCAGATAAGAACTAATAGTAAGTTATCCAAGTACACAAAATACGAGAAACATGCAATATAAAATTCAATCTTACAAAAAAAGCTATACAAGTCAGTATTCATTTTGCCATACTCTATCATTGGTGGTAGGACATGGCAAATTTCTGGTGAAATATCTGAAACATTTTTCAAATTGTTATTCAGTTTTATTCCTGTATTAATAGAATAAAAGAAGAATTGTTAATTAAATAAATAAATAAGACTAAATTGTCCTTTGGAACAGAATTATATATAAACATGTAATATGGACTTATAGAAGCAAAAAAAAAACTTTTTATCTTAATCTATTTGTTTAAATGGTACTGAACTTTGACATTTTCCCAAGTTTCTCAGAATACATTATAAATTATTTTGTTATATTATACCATATATATGACTTCGAGGAAATACTGTTGGATATCTTAAAATCAATAATAAATCAATCATTAATTAAGAAAATCAAAAATAGGAAATACCCCTGTATCTTCTCAAGAACCTGATGTCTTTTACCAAACATTAAAGATACTAAAATTAAGAATATCAAGGTAAACAAAGGATGAAAAAAGTAAGGCAATTATAAAACAATAGGAGAGAAATATCAAAATAATTTTTCCCTTGTTATCAACAATAGGTAAAGATGCAGAAATAGCTGCAAGACACCAGAAACTGATAAATCTTATTTGTAACTTTTCCATCATCATAATCAACAGACAATTGGAACAATCAATTTTTTCAGTGGGGTGTATAATACTTACGTCTATAACAGTCCTTGAACATTATAGGTGCACAATAAACAATAATAAGGAAACAAGGTAAAGTATTTTAGTGCTCAATCAAAATATTTGCATTCAAGGTTTCTATAGCAAAATTTTCAAGAAAGTGCTAAACACATTTTAATGAATGACAGATAACAGAAATTTTATACTTTTTAAAAAACTTCTGCAGATCCTCTAATTAGCACCTTCCATGAGATCTCATCAAGAGTAGGACGAGTGGCAGGAAGTCATCATTTATAAATTCAACCTAGGGACCTACTTTTGTCTACTACTATCTCCAGTTCCTTAGTACCCAATTCCTCCTCCTTCACAGCCTACCACTCCTACCAGAATTCCAGGGGTCATTTATGAGGAACTCACTGTCTTGGAAACCTAGACCTGATCATCTTATCCTTGCAGAACCTTGTGTCCTTTCTCACATCTTGATTCTCCCCCACATCCTGGTTTCTCCTACTTACTTCTAGTGGTGCAAATCCTGCAGCACCTTTCTACTCTAGCCTAAACTTTCTAGAGTAAAAAATTCTTTATGTCCTAACTCCATGGTTGCCCCAAGCCAACTACTGTTAAGATTCTGCTGCCGCAATGTAATTGTATGGACCACAAGAAGCAACATAAAAAATTAAGACAAAAAATGATGAAATAACTTGAAACTGTAGACAAAGGTGCAAAGACACAAAGGTATTCTAATAAAAGGTAGAACAGGGTACAAGTGTACATGGCACGTCAGGATGTCTGAAGGGGAACACCTATGAGATGAGTTCCTCTGCTGGTGGAGTGCTCAAGATGCTCAGTGGGGCCAGCCCCAGTGGCTAGTGGTTAAGCTGAGCACACTCCACTTTGGCAGCCCTAGTTTGGTTCCTAGGCACCAACCTATATCGCTCTGTTAGAGGCCATGCTGGCAGCCCACATACTAAAACATACAGGCAGGTTGGCACAGACATTAGCTCAGGGCAAATCTTTCTCAGCAATAAAAAAGGAAAAAGATAAAAAGAAAGATGCTCATAAGAGAGTCTGATGCACTGCTCAGCAGGTGTAAGAGCAGTAGGAATGGAGTTCCAAGAGCAAAGAGACAGAGAACCAGGGAGGACAAAGGCCTGGGCTCAAGTGAAACTTACCAAAGATGGCTGACACTGACCCACTTCACATACAGTGCTGGTCTCAGAACAGAGTGGAAATCTGAGACTGCAGGATCTGCAGAAATAAAAGTAAAAACAGACAAAGAGAGAGAGAGAGAAAGTAGGGGATGGAAATTATCTTGCCTAGCACCTCTCTCTCTTACAGCTATGCTTAGCAATTTCTTGGTAAACGAATCTGAATAGTTTTTTTTTTAAAAAAGGAACAAGAAAAGAAAGAAAAAACATTTTCAGTAATTCACTAGGTTTCTCAACGATTTTTCAACATGATCTGTACTCAGTAGACCTATCATATTCTGATTTTTTAAGATGTAATTTTGAGTTTTGAACTCCTAATCCATTTATATGTGTGTATGCACACATGCACATACACACACACTCCTACATAATAGGTTAGGTATGTACTTGCATTACTTACAAAGTTATCCTAATTAAAAAAATCTTAAAACATGAGATCCTACAATGTGTAGATAATCTATGAAAAAATTCATTACTCTTGTAGCCTAAAAATTTACTATATTTAAAAGATCCATATATGGTCAATTAAAACCAGTTTCTCTTCTTGAGCATCTATAGAGATTGTGACTCTTGGTGAGCCTAATAATAGTAAGAAAAACCTGATGAGAATAATTAATAGTCTTCTTTCCTACACGCTGCAAGCTATTTTTATAAGCTATAAGTTTTTCTACATGTGACAAAAAACATAAGATATTTAAATTCAGATGCATTTACCATTCCAGAATCCAGCGTCAGAGAATTGTGAAATAGTTTGGTTTAGATAACCTTCATAACTTTTAATTTAATTTTGTATTTATTTCCTTTGCAGAAAGATACAACAATATTCTACGTGATTTTTTTAATCTGTATTTTCACACTTAATTAGATGAATTCAGGATGCTGGATGATTAAGCCAAGTGTCATGGAGGGAGTAACTGCGTGCTCAGACAAATAATTCTGAACATTAAAATCACCATTAAAAAAAGCCAAACACAGGCACAACATTCTATATCCTATTTAGAATAATTTTCAAAGAATATTGAAACAAAATATTCCAATAAAATTATTCACAGAACAGGAAAGATTTTAAGATATTGGAGTTCTTAATACACCCAAGTCACCATAAAACACATTCCTACTAGGTTAGGTATGTACTCACATTACTTACAAAGTTATTCTACTTAAAAAATCTTAAAATATGAGATTCTACAATGTGTAGGTATTCTATGATTGAGTGAAACTCTATTTATAGCATCATAAATATGTTCAATTAATGTACTTCAAGTTCTAAAGCTATTTTTCTTTGTTCTCTCAGAAATGTTACGCACCTAGGTGGTTAACACCTTCAAGTACCTATCAGATGTACTTTTGCTTTCTCCAGGCAAGATTCTCATAAACGGTAATACTAGGAAAGAAGGTTTTTGGTTTTATGGTTTGTGGTATGTATTTGCTTTCCAGTATATACAGTGCTATCAGCATGAACAAGAACACCTACTTTTAACGCTCTTTTATTGGTCTTATTGTCTGTTTGCAATTTTAATTTAACAACTAAAATGTTATAGTTTTCATTTCTTTGAGAGCTAATTTTATTTGGCAGGAGCTTCACGCATATCATCACCCTGTAACATATTTAGAAATACTGCCACTACTGGAATCCTGACAAATACCTACAAATTTCTGTTGCATCTTTCGAACAGAGTCTCTCAAAGAGGGTTCCACAGAATATCTGAGTCAAATGAGCTCACTGATGATAACGCAGGAGAGGGAGTGATATCATATCCCTTGGTCCTCAACTTGGCAGCACCCATGCTGGCTCGCATGAGCTTCCTCAGTTTGACAATCACCCACCTTGGAAGGCTGTGCACTAGATGACACCTCTCCCGAGATCCCTCTTCCCTGACACCCACATGGCCCAACACCCATTCTCAAATATCACTTTGTCAGTGAGATCTCCTCCAACGCCAGTACCATTTCACTATCAGTCTGTCTCTCTTCTCTCATTACTTATTTCTTCTTAGTGCTTATCATCATTTACATCAATAGTAACTGATACATGTAATTATTTTCTCTCTCTGCATGATGGAGGCAGAAGCTTTCTCTGTTGTGTTCACTTTCAAGTCCCCAGTGTTTAAAATATACCTGCACACAGCAGATGCTCAATGTATACTTGTTAACACATACAATTAGTACACGTGGCGACGATTCCTAGAATCCATTGCTGCCTGACTTCCAGTTGGGGCCTGTCGATGAGAGACACTGGGGGGATATTAAATGTAGGAGGATAAATGGCATTTTTCCCCTCCACTGCTTCTGGCTCTGGCAGCAGACACACGGGTAGTTCAGCCGTCTCAGCAGCACAGCCTCACCGGCTCTGGCACCTGGCAATGCTGCAGCAGCAACTGAGATGTGGACTCCAGCCATGGCACAGATGAATCCAAGAGCTTCAGCTGCATTGTGTGCCCCAACATTCCTGCAGCATCAGTGTAGGTGTGTGACTCCTGGCTTGCTGAAAAATGGGGAGTCAGTAGTTTCAACAGCAGCAGTGGCCACAGCAGCTCCCCTCCAGGGGGGCTCTAGAAAATCACTTTCCTTTTGCCCCTCCAGCCTCAGGCATAACATTAGTTTCCTGCAGTTAATGATCTTGATGTATATTTGCTCCCCTTTTACTCCTCCAGTCCTTCTAACATGTTTGTAAACAATTTCCTGCTATAATTCCCCCTCAGAAGACATGTTTTTCTGCTAGACAAGACAAATTCATTGCCTTAAAATAACTTTCTGGTGCCAGCCTGGTGGCACAGTGGTTAAGTTCATGCGCTCTGCTTTGGTGGCCTGGGGTTTGCAGGCTTGGATCCTGGGTGCGGACCTACATCCCACTCATCAAGCCATGCCACGGTGGCACCCCACATAAAAAATAGAGGAAGACTGGCAACAGATGTTAGCTCATGGACAATCTTCCTCACCAAAAAAAATAATAACTTTCTGCCAAATATCTGCTCAATCTCACAGCAAGTGTGCCCATTCTTCCCAATGTAGCAATCCCATGAGGTACTAAGGAATGCCACAAAGTCTCCATTGCCCCAAATCTTCCCATGGTTCTGCTCCACCTCTTCATTGTCTTTCTTATTGGAAATAACACATTGATAAATTAGCAGCAAGTTTTGTGACACTGCATAATCATCCCACTCTCTGTAGTAAATCATAGTGATGTCTTTAAGTCCCTGTACTTTATTTGTAACTACAATAGATAAAAAATACTTTCTAGGACAATTTTCAACCTTTCTTTTGGTTCTATGTAGACTGTATATTTTACAGATGTTTGGCAGAATTGACACAGTAATACAAAATTAGTAGACATAACTGCATATCCAAATAGTTTATAATAACACTATTTCTACAACTTGTTGGAAGGTGACCAATGGTCACTTGAAAACTCTTTAAAATCATAATTATCCATGTAGACTCTCTGCCAGAAAATGAAGCGTGTTCCCTCCTTGCTCTCCTTGGTAAGATGGATTTCGTAACAAATCCCCCTCTACTTTTTCCCTAAGGACTAAGACACTTTTCTCATCCATTAGGTAACATAGGAGGAGTGTTGTTGTTCCTTCAATGTGAGTTTAAGTCATAAATCATTTGGTTTTATTTCTATTCTATCTAACATGACACCAAAATTTTAATAATTCTATCCCTTTTTAGAGGTCCAAGCATTTCTTTGCTTATAATAAAAGCATAAAAATGAATGTGAAGGGGCCGGCCCGGCAGTGAAGCAGTTAAGTTCGCACGTTCTGCTTCGGCAGCCTGGGGTTCACCGGTTCAGATCCTGGGTGCTGACATGGCACCACTTGGCAAGCCATGCTGTGGTAGGCATCCCGCATATAAAGTGGAGGAAGATGGGCACAGATGTTAGCTCAGGGCCACGCTTCCTCAGCGAAAAAGGAAAAAAAAAGAGAGGGGGATTGGCAGCAGATGTTAGCTCAAGGCTAATCTTCCTCAAAAAAAAAAATATCCATGGTATGGAAAAATGAACGTGAACATCATCTATAATTCCATTTTCTTTTTTTTAAGGATATAAAGTAAAAAGGTAAGAGTCATCTTCTCCAAGTCCTCTAAGTCCAAGCCTGAATCCAGAAGGCAATAAGATTACCACAGTATAACCAATTGGAAGACACTCACCAAATATTTTTCTGATTGTATGTCTATTGTGCATACATATATAGTGCCAATAACTCTTGCAGGTATTGTTCTAAGGTTAAATATAAGGTTACGTTATACATATAGTCCTGAAATAGCTTTTGTCACTTAAGCATACATACAACATGAGGCAATCCTCTGAAGCGTGCACATACACATCTATGTATTTTTCTTCTTCTGTGATAGCCAGCACATGTGCTATTTCCTCATTAACAAACTCAAATGGCTGGGCCTGCTGCAAGTCACATAAATACACTTGGGTTAACCACCTAAGGTGCCCACCGCAGAGAGCTTCAGAATCCCCTGGCTGATGAGAGTCTCATCAACTGACTGACAAGCGCTGCCTTGTCTTACTGAAGGCCTCATTCTCCACGAGTTTTAGCCTCTCTCCTAACATGCTGCCTCTAGGCATCAAATGTCATAATTCATAAAACAGAAATGATATTAGTTCTTTTCTACTCCCAGCCAAAAGTGTAGTCAGAATCAACACTGATCATCACTTCCTATCTAGCCAGACAGTCAAGTTTATCTTCTGTTATATTAATACATTTGGGGTCAAAGATTCAGAACGTGGAAATCCATGGATACTCCAGACTTCTCCATCTTTTTCAAAGAAAGACTGTAGGTTTTGCATAACAGCTATAGGACTCAGTAATGATGCCATTAATCACTTGTTCTTTCAAATGTTTCCTCACGTCCTCCCTCTCATAAAGAGCAATTCTTTGAAATCAGTCTTTGAGGGGGCATGACTGACAGAGACAAAGAGGATGCTTAATTGCAGCGGCACATGCCAGAGTGCAAAAGCACTCCATGTAAACCTTCTTATTCAGTAACATTCTGCAGATAATAAAGAACTTCCAAAACCAACATCTC